GCATCATACGCTGGTCTGACGCTAGGCATTTTCCCACATAGTGCAATCATGTGGAATGTTAAACTTCTCTGTGTAGATCCTACATTTTGGTGACTAGTCCGTTTCTAAATTCTGCTTCTAGTGCCTGCTCTAAATTCTAAAAGTTTTGCCATTTCTACATTTTGTTGCTGGGTGTGTCACTAAATTCTAAAAATTCCGCCACACCAGCTCTGTAACTGGCCCTTACCACATATATTTCATATCTCTTGTGAATAACTAATATTACTAAAGAAATAAAATTAGCAGCTTTTTCTATACATTTTAAATGCATTTAGTTTTTTAGAATAACAGAAATATTTAATTAAATTCTAAAATGAAAAGAAAATGTAGACAAAAGAAACTGAATATATAAAATTATTCTTCAAAGATATGTACAGTGTTATTATTATGTAAATTACCCAGTTGTTGACAATTTCAGCTTTTACTGTAATTTCCCATTTGTATTTTTTCCCCAAAATGGAAATCACCAACACATTTTTTAAACTGAGGTGTTTGGAGTGTAAGACGAAGTGTGTTTCTGACCTCCACTTGCTCCTTGCATTAGTTCCTGCTGGCTCTGTTAATTTGTAATTATTTGTCTTTGTATTACTGCTGCTGACATTTGAATTTGTTATGACAGTAGGGTTACTGAGCCAGCTTAAAATTAAATTGTATAGTCTTTGACCACTAGTCCACATTTTTTTTTGTTTGAATTTGATTGTTCTTGTTTAATTACATCACCCCAAATTTTAATCAGGGTTCGTAGCGGTCCTTATAAGTGCTTATAAATCCTTATATTTGAAAATAAAATATAAAGGCCCTTATAAATGTTTACTTTTTCTTTAAAGCCCTTATTTTTTGTTTTTAGTGCTTATTTTTTGCTTTTAGTGCTTTTTTTAATGAACGTGCTATTTTTCCCCGTACCAAAGCCGAAACTAAATAAACAACTTTTCTTCCTAATATGAAATGTCAGATGGTGAATCATACTCTCGGAAATAGCTTTCCCCCTTTCTCTGCATTAACATAACCTTTGGTATGCACGAAGAGTACAGACAGGTGCCCGTCGTTCTATTGGTCAAAGAATTCTGAAAGCAGTAGAAAATTCCGGTACGTTCGGCATTCTTTTCCTCCCACCCAAACACTACACACGTTTGAATTTCTATCAAGACCTTAATAATTTACATTCTCGTTCTGCTTGGTCAGTTCATATTTGTGTTTATTATGATCATTATGCTTATGTTATGAGCATATGTATGAATGTTTATAATAACATAGTTGCAATAACTGCTGAAGTATAGTAAACTTCCAAAAATAATTGTGTTTTAACACAAATTAGCTTTCTAAGGAATAATATTCGGAAAAAGGGAAAGGAAAGTAATCGAATAGTCAAACTAATTTCATTTTTTTGGCCAATACATTATACAGTACGAAGATTGGGAGGTGTTCCCCTTTCTCCACAAAATCTCAAATATTGAAACTGTTTCAGTTCACTTTTCAATCTGGATTGAATAGGACTAAAAGTTCTGCGGTCTAACAACCCAAGCGAAGAATGATTCTATTCCGGAAATTTAACGCCGTCTCTTGAAAATTAGAACCCCAGTTATTTAGTTCTTTATTCTCCCAATACAGGCAGCTGTTGATTCCGATTGCATAATATCACGTAGGGAAGAATTACGGCACATGTTTTGCACAATAACATTTGCGATATTTTGCAGAGATAATTGATTTTGATGTTTTGTCCGAGATTTGTTTATGAACACTTAAAAGAGTTTTACTATGCTTGCTAAGCAGAATATTTTTCAGTTCCATTGGTTTATTTTTATATGATGCACATATTGAAATGTCAAAATCATTTATTTAGCGGAAAAATCTAAAGAGCGGCTACAATCTACCCGCTCCTCTTTTTCAAGTTACGCTCGACTGTCCGAATATTCGCCAATTTCCAGGTATGTGGGTTAGTTAAGCTTTTACTGTTAAAGGATGACTGCATGAAGCAAATTTCTGTCTTCTGATTTCAGAAATGTTCATCTTTTTTACTTAAATTACTTTGCTTGCAATATCTGTTAAGGAAAAACTGATATACAATGAAAATTTAGAAAATGTTCAGAATTTAGATTTAAATTATTTAAATATCATTATGAGTGGAAAAATAAATTGTATTTATTATTAGGTTCCAAGCGAATACAATATATCCAAGCGAATACAAGCCTTATTATTATTTATTTTCTCTATTTTGAACTGAAATTTCATCATTAAATCTTGTAATATAGTTTAGTTCTGCATAGTTTTTTTTTTTTTTTTTCCTTCTCTTTGTAAACTAGTTCTGTAAATTGAACTGTAATTTAAAATTTAAAAAAAAAAAAAAAAAAAAAGGGGGGTACTTTTCCGATTTGCCGGCGCAAATCTCGCCAAGCAAACTTTATTGGTGACAACACACACTATACACATAAAATATGTTAACAAATGTTTGTTCTAAGGGTTTTTTATTTTGAAGGGATAAACACTTTAATATCGTTTAAAATTTTGTAAAATGAAATTAATTTAAGAATTTACTATACTTTCATGGTACAGAATCCTGATTCGCCGGTTCATGTCACTTGACCTCGAGTGATCTCATCTCACGTTAACTACGCTACAAAAATCTAATTCTCTCATTAATTTCAAGTTATCCAGTTATTAGTTCATTCTACATTAATTTCAAGTTAAATCTTAATATGGAATAGAAGTTTAAATGCAAGAATCATTTTAATTCGTAGGAATAGCTTGCTCAAAAATTCTGTAAAACCACAGTGGTTTACTTCGCTAGTGCATTCTCATTAGAATTGATGAATTTAGCCCTTTACTTTGCCTTTTCCGTATTTTTGCCTTCGGATGAGCAGTGTGATTGCATCCTAACTGACTTAACTACCGCAAATGGCCTTACGGCATAAAATTGAACTATCTGGTAAAAGTTCTATGCAATTTTATGCCAGTATTGAAAGAAACAATTAATCTGATAAGAAATCGCTGCGACTTGCTTTGTAAATGAGGCGTAAAAGGCTACCAGCAAGGATATTCCGTTTGGAATCGGTTATACCATTTTTGGCGACTTTATCGCCTGCGCCGGCAAAACGGAAAAGTACCAAAAAAAGTAATTATTTTCCATGGTTGAGGTAATGCTTATTCTCTCTTAATAAATAATACATTTCTCATATTTTAAATTACAAGTCTAATTTTTAAGGTTATGCAGTTGTGTATAATGTAATTAGACAGCTGCTTATTTTTTTTCTTAAAATGTGCTTGGAAAGTGCTTATAGGTGCTTATTTTTTTAATTAAAATGTGGCTATGAACCCTGTTAATTGATTTGATTAGCATAAGAACATACCTTTAAGTTCTTTTTTAATAAGAGGCTTATTTAAACCTTTGTCTGACTTTGAGTTACTTTGAGACATAGCTATAATTTGCTTCATGTCTGTCGGGAGTTTTTGAACTATTTAACTTTTACCAGATCAAGTAAACCCTCATAGGTACATTGTGGAGAGGTTGACAATTTAGGAGATAAAGCATGCAGACACTAATAGAACATTGGTTTGCATATTGAGAGAAATTTCTAATTCTTAGTAAACATGCTTAAAGAGAAGGAAATCTGTATAAATTAGCCAAAATGTCTGGCCAGGCTTCAAATTAAAAAGAAGCATAAATATTTTGTGGAGTGTTGTTGCTATAAAACATAAATGTTTTGTAGCTTTTAATGTATAATTATCCTAATATTGTTGAAGAATCAATGACATAAATTGCATGTATTTTAAAGTGTGAAATTTTATTAGATTGTGATTTTAATAGGGACTTTGAACAGTATTGTTAAGAAATAGGTAAAGTTTAATAGTGGTCATGTAAATCCATAATGACTAAGATTATCTAACTATCTAATTTAGTTTAAAACTAACTGCTTACACTTAAAAATTGTCTGTGCATATTAAAGTTATTGCCTTTCATTATTTTTTAGCGTGGTAAAACACAAAAATGTAAAAATTCATGTAAAACTTAGTCTTCATATCTAGTGAGACCTAAAATAATACAAAGCAGCTTAGTGTCACCTCTGGTGCTTTAGTGGCGTATTGGAACTTTAAAGTATATTAACTGGATTACATCTCCTGTAAATCTACATGGAGCTACGACACCTTATATTATTAAGTATATTAACTAGGTTTTAATCCTTGGAACTCTGCATGGAGCTATGACACTAACTGCAACAGACAGAGCCCAACTAACTTTAAAAACTAGCTAACCGTGTCCACATCAGGCCTTTCAGTTTTGTTCTGGTCTGCAGGTCTCTTTTTAGGCAAGGAGCAGCGGTGACAACAGCCAGTCTTTTGTTATAAATCATTCTTATTATGATTTTACTTCTCATTTTAACCTATGATGCTTGACATAAAATCTACCTGGCTATTTACTAAACCTCTAGATTGAGCAAGTAATGAGACATAAAAAGAAAAAAAAAAAAAAAAAAAATCCAACATGAAACTATAACTATTTGTAAAACATAAATAAAAAGGCACTTATCTTTCAAATATGCTGAACTGTTATAAGTGTAAAATATTTAATGCTGTTTGATAAATTTCATAAATTATATTTTATACTCAAACTTACTAATAATTATGTTATGTTTAATAATAATGCATCCTACTTAGGGATCTATTTTATTTTTTGGATGGTATTACAAAAGTAAAGTTCAGGCATAGATAATATTTTTAATTGAATTTATTAATTTGCTTATTGTTCATAGGTCCTTAATTTTTTCATTAATGGTCTTTAAAAGTACTTAATTTCCATGTGCAGAAATGTGCACAAGCCCTGAACTAACATATACTGATTAATGCATTTCCTTTTGCTATATTTTATTTTATAAAGTAGTCATTTATTATTAAATTGAATTTGCTTTTATAATATTAAGTTATTTGTGTGAATAATAGACCTCATACTTGTATATAAATTACTTTAGATTTTTGAAGTTTGCTGATTCTGTTTATAAGACACCACCTTCAGTTGAGTATTGGGAAAAACAAAATTTGCATGGTTCTATGATTCTCATGGAAGGGTCTAAAACTGGTTCAGCAAAGGTGACAGTAAAGCCTCTTAATCCAGCTTATAAGGTATTTAAACAGATGATACATTCTGTAATTTATTTATCACTTTAATCTGATATCTTTCTTTGTTTAAGAATAGTAAGATACTGATACATATCTGACTAAAATTACTAGAAAATTTATTTTGACCATGTAGCAAATTAAGAAAAATTTCTAGAAAGATATGGTCTTTATGTTGTAATACTGTTGAAGAAATCAAAATATGATTTCGTAGGGAATTTATCATTAGGTTCTTTTAATACAATAAAGTTTTACTTGGTTGTTGGAGTTTTTAAGTTTAAATAACATCACTGATATTTGGGTGTTAGAACCTTGAAATGTAAATAAAATTTTTATGTTGTGGATTGTTGAAATAGATTCATTTCTTTCAGTGGAAGTCTTCTACATACGAGGAAATACAAAATTAAGTAGTAAGTTACCTATAATAAAATACAGACTGTTATTAAAAAAAAATTACAAAATTTATTTCATTATGCCATCCACAAGTAAGAAAATTTGTCACATTTAGTCCACTGGTAAGAAAATTTGTCATGGGTGTCAACACAGTACATTTATGATTTATCACAATGCCATATATACCTTTTTTTTTTTTTTTGGTCATGAATAGTTTTAAATGTAATTAAAGGTATCATAGATAAGCCAACACACTTAGCATTGCTGAAATTCCAATGTTTTTTTAGGGATGAAAGTACAACATTTGTCCATTTTCTAATATTGATTCAAATTATAGGATACAGCAACGTCAAGTTTACATAGAACCAAATTTTTAGGATGTTGTTGCCTAGCCATTGGTTAGAAGGATATATGTATATGTGAGGCCTAGAGAGGGAAAATTTCAATTTGTTGGAAATGTGCTCTAAAGATCGTATTACACATTGAAAACATTTCATGAGAATAACACATTAGTACTGTTTTTCTGCTTTGTGGCTTATAAAACAGCAGACGGTTTGCTGTGGATCACTTTGGGGTTACAAATAAAGGAGAAACTAGTTCTCCATCACAAATGATGGGTGATATCTAATTGGTTGTTGAAAACAAAATACTTACGATTTGTTTGAAAGTAGCATATCTTTCTCTCAGTAGTAAAGCAGGTAAGAAAATTTTAGACAATTGTTCTTCTGAAATAAATGGATATGTGGTACCAGTCTATGAGATAATTGCATACTTATCATCATTGCTTAGAACAGAAATGAGGATGTAGGCGTAAGTTCTGAATAAGAACTTCGTAAAGCATGAGTTTCAGCCTTTTACGTAGTTGATGGGTATAAGAAACAGTTTTAAGTAGATACATAAGATCTGCTTATTGAATTGTTTTCTCGAAATATAATCTAAGGATTATGATATGTTTACTAAATCACTTGATGTTTGTTGAATCATTTTCTACAGTGTTGAAGCAGTAGTATTTAACCTGCTCTATTGTTCATTATCACTTTTTGTGTTTCTGCATTTAAACAAAACAAAATAGATAATAATTTTTATTATGAAACTTTTTTACATTTAAGTTGTTATGCTAAATATATAAAATGTGTATATCATTACAACATTTTATTTATTTTTTTTATTTTATTTATTTATTATTATTATTATTATTATTTTTTTTTTTCAGAACGTTGCACCATATGATGTCAGTCTGGTTGTAGTGGCAAATCTAAATCTAAAGCCATCTCATATTTATTTATTGCCTGGTACAAAGGTTAAGTACCATTTAGAATTAATCAAGCAAGGCAAAGCTTTTCGTAAGCATTTTACTTTTTAAGTATTTAGCTCAAATATATCTTCATTGGCTTTCACCATATTAATTATAGTGAACTATACTACAGCTATCAGCAAGAAGAGGTAGATTTACTGAGTGAAACTGTCTCATATTTTTATTATGCATTAAAAATGTATGAAATCTGTGTGCAACATTCAGCTTTTGTGAACCAAAAATGTGTTCCACTTTTAATTACTTCACTTATTTCATTAACCTGTACAACAGTGGTTTTATGACTTTGTGTAATATTTCAGCCAATCTTATTTTACCTTTTGAATTTATGAAGTGCTTGATGATGTTTTGTAATCCAATTTCAGCAAAGGATTGCAGAATTCAGTGCATCTGTGCTTTTATTGGAAGCAGTCCAAAATAACTTTATTTTAAAGTGGGAAGGTTTTTGTTCTAAACATTTATAGTTTCGTCTCATTTTTCACATTTTCCATCAAAGCCTCTGCTTAAAAGTGATTAGTTAAACATTAATTGTAGATTTGGAAAAATTTAAGTTGAAATAAATAATCCCTCTCCCTTGTGAAATCAAATAAAAACTTTATACCCAAAAGGTTTTAGTTTCATTCACAAAATAATATCCATCTGACATATTTTTTGTTAACTAATGTAAATACTGTATATTCTCATGATACACTCTTTTTAAATTATTTTGTGATATTGCTGTTGAACTGAATTTTATGGTTTAAGTGTGAAGAACATGCAAAACATTAAAAAACGGTCCCTAAAAACTAATTCTAGCAGTATGATGACATGCCATCCCGAAATTTAATGCACATATTTTTGCTTATGTATGCTGCTAAATAAATATAAAATACCTGAATTTATTTAGAAATATCATTAAATAGATTTCTTTAAGATAGATAAGTTCTCTTTGCTGTTATAAAATTTACTGTATTTTATTATTTCAAATTTGCTTTCAATTCTTTGGATTGAGTACTCTTTGTTTGAAAATAGAATTATGTTTAGAATTTACTTTGTTTTTTACCTTGCTTTGGGGACGGGCGAGAATTTTCAGGTGAACTGTTATAATTAAAATACAGTCAAAAGTCTTTAATCCGGACTCGTCGGGACTTCGGCGATTCCGGATTATAGATCATCAGTTTAAATCTGGTAAGATGGCATGCAGAAATTATAAAATTAAAAATATGAAACCATAATTTATAAAATAATGAGCAATTATGATCTAAAGGGTATCAAAATTTACAAAAGAAGAAGCTTAATATTTATTTGTTTACTTTATTAAACATTTCTTTCAAAGCGCGCATGCATAAAGCATACCTTACGCATATCCAAAATTAGAAAATTGCAACCAGAAAGTATTTGATTTGTATTCGTGATATTTATAATGACGAGGAATTTGATTTAAATCATATCAAAGACAGAGTACATCAAGATTAAATACTACATTTAGTAAGGAATTATAAGCCGAATAAAATAAAAACATCTGCCCTGAAGATAACGATAGTGCTGACAGATCAACTTCCAGTTCATTGCGTGCCACGACCCCCCTCCCTTCCCCGCAGAGCAGCGTGAAATTGATAAACAGATTTCCGAACGATTAGATAAACAAAGGATATGCCTTTATCCAATTTTTGTAGCAATTCGTTTTTTTGTTTGATGGACATCGAAACATACTTTGTTCTAGATCCTTTGGGAGCTCCAGCATCGGAACTTCTATTTGACATAATCGAAAGTTCAAGCTTACTTTTATAAAATTGCTGTTACAGTCTGCAAAAAAATAATAAGCCGGATCCAATTCGAAGATTAAGGAACAATGCAATCATCAACATTAACTGAAATAGATAATTTTAGCTTACCGTCCATTATACATTAAACGCGCAGTCGTAAATGTCTTGCGCGCACGTGTAAAACGCCCATGCGCATGCGTCAACGTGGTGCATGGGCAGAAAGATTTTAGCTTTGAGGTCCGAATTAACGACTTTTGACTGTACATTGGAATGGTTCATCGGCTAATTCTGGATACAGAAAAGATTTTTTTTTACAAGAGAGATTTCAGTTGATTTCAGTATTCCTCCTCCTGACGAAGTAGCATTGAAGTTGATTGAATTCCTCTCCTGTTATGTTTTTTTCTTTAAATTTCATTGATTTTTTAAAATTAGGTATTACATGTTTAAATTTTTTTAGTTTTAACATTAATTTTTGTTATTAGTATTATTGAATGGATTTTATGAAATTTATTACTTGTGAATTTCAATTTTTGTCTTTGTAAAATTGGTTCTAAATTTCTTAATGTCTTTCCTGATATTTTTCAGCAGCTTGGTGCATGGAAAATACTAGATATAAATTTTATTAGATTTAAAAGAATTTTATTGTATAGATATAAGAAAATATGATAGCTGCTACCTCAAAATTAACATTTCTAAATTTGATGCCCTCTTCCTAAATTCATCTGTTCTCCCAAATTCGAGATCTTTCTACGTTTTGTAACATTATTGGGAAAGGGCAACTAAAACTAATCTTAGCCAATCATAGCTTATTTCTAGAACCATAGCTACTGTGTTATAAATACCTCTGGTGAGCTAATTAACGTCATTCTTCTACATTGCTAATATCTCCCGACTTCGCTTTTCTAAAATGCCTGCATCTTAATTTTAAGAAACCAATGTACCTAGCAATTTATTTAATCATAGAAATATATCGAATTTTGTTATGATTGAATAAATATCTACGGAGAGGATTTTATATATGCGTAGAAATAAAAGACTGGAAATTCTTCAAGTTTATATTTTGTTATCTTCATCTGTGAGCCTTCACCATAAGCCACAACGACTGCAATCTGATTCCTCTTCTATGCTTAAAAAATATTGCATATATAGCTGGATTAACCAAATGACTTTAAATGTGGTTTATGTGTTTTGAGTTTTGGGTACATTTTTGCAACAAAATTTTATCTACTGGTGTAGATTTGGAAACATATGATAATTTGATATTTTTTTGCAGTGCATTAAGGTTTTTTAATATAACTTACTATTATTTTTTTCTTAGCTATAACCCTGCCATCTGACCAATATTATTTAGAAGTGGGAGACAAGACAATTGCAGATCTAGAAAATACATCCTCAGTAGTTACAGCATTGAAATATGGTACTACAAATATTGTTGTCAAAGATAAGTGTATCCTTTTCCTGTATTTTGAAATATATAGAACAAAAATGTTTTATTTTGTCTTTTAAATGACGAGTGGTGTATTATCTTTACATGTCTGAAAATAAAGATTTAAATTCTATCATTACTTATCTTTCATTATTAAACAGGAAATATTTTGCTAAAAGTACGAAATTTATTATTAGTTCTATGCTGCATATAATTTATTAGAATGAATTAGAAGTGCTTTTTAACATAATATGGTACAGTTAAATTCAGAGTAAAGAAAGGGAATTAAAATATATGTTTTATTCTAAAAACTGAACAACTACAGTACAAAGTCCTAAATCCAGACTCGTCGGGACTTTGGCAATTCCAAATATTAGATCATCAGTTTAAATCTAGTAAAATGTCATGTAGAAATTATAAAATTAAAAACATAAAGTCGTGATTTATGAAATAATGGAAGTATTTATTATCTAAAGGGTATCAAAATTTACAGAAAAAAGCTTAATATTTATTTACCTTATTAAAACATTTTCTTTGAATGTAAAGTTGTTTAAACTAGCTTTAATTTTTTATGCTAAGACTTTCTCTTCAATTCTGTATGGACACAGACATAATCTCTTCGTTTAATTACATTGTTACAAAGTTCCACTGTAACACTGTTTTGTAGAATTCTGACTAACTGATCATCGAACTTGTCAGTCGAAATTTTTTCGTTTCCAAGTAACCTTCTCTGTCACTTTCTTCACTATCGGTAGCGGTATTTTCTGGATTTAGAACCATATTGCAGATTTCGCCATTCATTAATTGATTGATGATTGAGATGCATAGTCATCACAATAAAAAACTTAGTTTAGGCTTTCATATTAACTTCATTTATTACCACTTCTCCACCTTTCTTTACAAATTCCTTTATTTGGGAACCTTTGTTTTGCGATATCCGAAAACCTTCAAAATTCGCGGCTATCATCATCAAATTTAGCTATCCTTCACTATACATATTTGGCTATGCATCATGAGCTTGGCTACTAGACAAGTTTTTCAACTAAATTTTGTCTTGCTTCTATCGCGAATTCAGACGAACCCTTTGTGGCTCAGTGTTCCACTACATGGAACACCCAAATTGAATTGCTTCTGAAACCTTTAAATTCAACCGTAAGTAGATAAAAATGCCTTTATAATATACTTTGAACTTTTGTTTTTAAACAGTATGTATTTCTGAGTGTCTCAAATTAACATTATAAACAGCATATCACAAGGAGACACAGAATTTTCATTTATTATGTGTTATTAAAATCCCTTTTTTTTTCAAGTAATTTTCTCTATTTTTTTTAATGATATAAAAAATTTTATTTGGAAAAAAAATTAGGCATAATTTTGCTTGCTGTACTCCAAATTATTTGTTCTATATTTTTTTAAGTCTTTCATACAAAAACCATACACAGAATCATTGAATGAAGCCAGGTGTTCCATTAGCAGGAACACTGTGCCTTTAGCGCTCTCATGCTGTTACGAGTCAGAACATCTGTGCTTAGAACATCCCTTGTTTATTTTCTGTTTCTGTTGTTTTGGAGGGGAATGAATTCAAATAAAGCAGTATTGAGGGCTGAGGTGTGTTTTGTGTTATGAAAGCCTTAATATTGGCATCTCAAAATTTTTGGAGTAGTTTTTAGGCGGAATTTTATTAGTAGCTTGACTCATCTTTATATAGACTTGCACGATTTTTTTGCTGTCGCTTTTTAGCTTCATTCCCGTTTATTTTTCTTTATTGTTAATATTAATCGTAGTTAATTTTTTTAATAATAATTTTCCATAAATGGCGCGGAGAGGTCTAACTCTTTACGAAAATTTGTAAATATTTTTGTACATATGACTTGTGTATATAGATATTTATCTCATTTATCCATATATATTCAAGAATATTGTGTATATCCAGGAAACCATGTATACAGCCATAATACAGAGCTTTTTCATTCTTATACAAACGCTTCTACTCATTTTCGTGCTTCACTGTAATGCTTGCTTAGTCACACTTTTAAAAGCTCTGGCGGCGCAGTGTTCCACCTCATGGAACACCCACAGAATTAAAACGGTAAGTTCATCTTTTACAAAATTTTACCTTTATACTCCTTTAGAACTAAATAGACTGCATACAGCTTTTTTTTGTTGAAATTCCGACGTTAGCGTATAGTGCGCCACAAAGGGTTAAGCCTGAATTGTATTAGTTTAGTTATTTATTATACTTATGTTAATTTCTTGCACATGTTTAAGGATTATCTTGCACATTCTTGCACATGTTTAAGGAGTTCTGAATAAATAAATTTCCACATATACTTAAACCTTATTGAGGGCCTGCACTAGATAACATACTGCCTGATGCAGTGTCTGTGGGTCCTAAATTCTGCGATCCTGTGGGGCCATATGCTCCCTGGTGCTGGTTCTGGGTTTATGTGAATAACAACTCAGTTATTCTTAATTCAAATAGCCCTAAATGTAATCTTTGGGTCTATGAGTATGATCAACAAAATCTATTTTTAGCGTATAGAAAGAAATTTTTGGTAAACTTTCCTCGTCAACAATTTTTAGCGCATTTAAATTAAATCTGTAATCATTGCCAAGCGTAATGTCAACATAAAAGATTACCATACTCCTTTATTATTTAATTGCTAACATAAAAAAATTGTTTAGGCATCACTGCATGAGTCACTACTCAAGTTTTTCATGTTTTAATAAACGTGCGGGGATGAAAGGAAAGTATAATAAATAATGATTCCCCAGGTTGGTGTCAGATCAACGATGTATCTATGTGGAATGTTTCGGTTTGAGATGTGTACCAAGTAGATTCACAGCAACGGAGACAAATTACCGATCATACAAATTTATGCATTTTTTATGCTTAAATTGTTTCTTCAATAACAAGGTATTTTATTTAGTGTTGAAGTGAAATTAAGAATCGGGACTCTGCAGATGTTTTATATGTACAGAAAGGAGAAATCAAATGTGCATGCATAAAGCCTATGAGAAAAACTTTGTTGGTGGTTTGAGGTCTGGATTTTAGATCATTCCGGATAATGGACGTCCAGATTTCGGACTTTGTACTGTACTTTAAAAGCAAAAAGATATCATTTTAGTAGTAAACAAAAAGTTTCTTTGTGTTTATAACGTGCAGGAATGACAGGGCCTACAAGTACAAATTTTGGCTTAGATTCTCCAATCCATGTGAAATTTGAATTTTTTTTAATTCTCTTTTTATTTTTTGCAACATTAAAATAACTTTAATGACATTTATACTTAACTATTTAATTAATAATAAAAAATTTCTTATTTTTGCACAGTCTGATAATATTGAAAAAAAATCTTCTAAATGTAACTTATTCTAAATTTCTGGCTTAAATTACTAATTTTTGGCAATTATTTTTGATTGACTTTTTTCCTATAATTCCAATCGTTAATATCTAAACCAAACTCCTGTACTGTCTCAAAATTTTCCCATTTAACACCTTATTTTAAAGTTAGAATTTTCAAGTAATATTAATTTGGCTATTTTGTATAGTGTCTTAAAAATGCATTGTGTAATGTTCCGTAGCTGAATATTGCATTATTCTGCCCCTTTGGCCAATCACTTGTCTCTTGGAAAAAACATGACATCATATACTTTGTTTCTATAATTTTTATATTGAATTATATTTCATTTAAATGCAGTGGCTTTCTTTTCAATTATTAATTCTCCTACTTCTATGGCTTTCCAATAATTTATGGGTGTTACGGGGGTAATTTTATTTTTGACCCATTCAAAAACATGTATTATATTAATTAGAATAATAAAATAAACATTTTAAAGAGCAGATAGGTTATGTAGATAGATTATATTTTCATTAGTACACAATTATATTTAAGTATATCCATTTCTTAAAAAAGAAGGTTCCTAAATTCTTGTAGATATCACTGGTCGTGAGCTTACTTATTTGCCATCAGGTTCAATTCATGTTACGGTTCCATCTTATTTGAGTGAGTGTTTATTCTTTATTTCTGAATTATATTGCGATGCTATATAGCTTATTTTGAAAAAAAAAAAAAAAAAAAAAATTCCCTTCCCTTGCAGCTCTTTCTGTGTCACCTGGGGATAAATGGATGTTACAAGAAAAAAGAACCTATTTGGTATTTGTTAATGTTTATGATAGGAATAGTCAACCAATTCATATTACTCAGGTTAGTATTTTTAATTAAATATGCATTTTCTAGTGTTATCAGAAATAAGTATTAAAGGAAGAATTTTGTTTTTTAATTGGGTTTGTCTTTCATAGAGATTCAGCAACATTTTTTAATGTGGTTCTTGATTTCCTTACAAAAGTATAAGAATTGTATTTGCCTTTATTATTGTGCTTTCTGCCATATAAGTGCAAAGTTTTAATTTTTATGTTAGTTTTTGAACTTTTGGTATTTTTGTTTTAACAGACTTTTTTTATGTTGATTATCTGTGTATATTTGTTTTTTTGGTAAGACTGAAATAGTTACCTATGGATCTTGTATGAATTCTATAATTTTTTATTGCAGCTAGCAATAATTACATATTTTAATACTAATTACAGCATAGCTTTTTTAGAAAGCTAATATTATACTAAAACTTGACAGTACTTTAAAATAAATACGTTATTCCTTTCGATGAAATTACTAGCTATTTAAGAAACCTCTGAAAGGGTTATGTGAAGTGAATAAAATATAAGTTGCATATTTTGGAAAGTAATGATATATCAATAATTAAAATATATAACTAAACAGATGGTAAGATTAGTGTTACAATGAAAATTGTTTTGGCTATATCTTTCATGATATTATAAGTAACACTGATCAACAATGGTTTTGTTACCAAAAAAAGTTCTGCTACTTTCACTGCTAATGCATGTTGTATTGTTAATTTCGAATCTAAAGTAACAAAATGTTCTCATCAGACTCCTTCTCCCTTTTTTTGATGACAGATCATTTGATCGATTTTGTTGTTCGTACTGAATTTAAGTTTGAATATTTTACCAAATCCTTATGTGTATTGTATGCAATTTAACTTGAATGATATTGTTTATGAGCTTCAATTTGTCAAAATTAAAGGAGTGGAATTTCTTAGAAAATCTGCCAAAGTAGGAAATTTTTATCAGAGATTGCATGAATGTTAATTTGAAATAATTATTTTTCAAAATTTTTATATAATGCACTATAGACTCATTTTGAAGCTTCAAAGTATCAACACAATCTTGAATAATTGAGAAGATTTCTGGATTTCCCAAAACCAAATCTAAAAGCAGCTCTGTTTTGTAATGGAAGTGGGGAACTATCACTATCTTTCAACTCTATTATGAAGAATGTCTAAGATCTGAAAGTAAAAGCTGTGCTCTTTGAACTGTTACTTGAATATGTTAAGTATTATATTATGCTAATTCAGAAGTCAAACAACAAAAATCAGCGTTATACCTACAAAATTTTCACAGGACTAGTTTCGATGGTTTTACCGAACCATCATCTTCAGCTGCAAAACCGCACATTTGCGGTTTTGCAGCTGAGATGATGATGGTTCGGTAAAACCATCGAAACTAGTCCTATGAAAATTTTGTAGGTATAACGCTGATTTTTGTTGTTTGACTTCTGAATTAGTATTTATTCGGCATGTTATTGTGTCTTAATTATATTATGTTGAGTAGAAGAAATATATTAAAAAAAATTGATCTGGAAAAAAAAGGGGGGAAGATTTTATTCTGAAACTTCATTGTAAATGTGTGTGTTGCCTTCTACACCTTCAGAAAGTATACTTGCTACCTGTTTCACATCAGACTACAAACTAGGTAAAATGAAAATTTTAATAAAGCAGTGGGGATAAAAGGTGAGGACATTTTCTAATAATGAAGTTTTCTGTATAAATGAAAGTTATTTGCACATTAATGTAATAAAGAAATAGGCATGTGTATTTAAATGTACATCAGAGAACTAATTGGTAAGCTTCCAGATTCTTAAAAAGAATTGTAACAGACCTCCTAGGATGCATTTTTTGGATTCCAAACTTTCCAGCTGTAAATGACAAGTTTGTAGAAATATTAGGTTAATTTGGAAGCAGGCGAGATGAAAAATTAGCAACATCTTCACCGGGAATTGAACCGCGGACCTCTCAATTATGCACTGAGTATGCTGTCCACTACACTAAGAAGGTGGGAGAAGCACCTTTTAAGTTCAGAAAATGTTTCCATCAGGATATGCACAGTGTGTAAATAGAAAGATGGATCCGTGGGATGACGATTGCTTATTGTTAGACTGTTAAAAATATATGAACTAGAGGTTGATGACATTGGTTTGGTCTCCAAAGTAATTATTATTGTTTGCAGTTGCTTATGTATGTAAAATAATATTTTTTGTAAAAAGTAAGAGGTAAAAATTGATTTAAAGAGGAAAGGAAATCATAATTGTTTACTTCATATTTTGGAGGGAAAATATTCTGAAGTTTTTGGGATTAAAATAAATAATGCCAGAAATTTGGCTACTTTCAGAGATTTTCATTTGTAGAAATTTTGATATGATTATAGCATAAAATTTTTAAATCAAAGGAAATTATTTACTTTTTACTGATCTTTGCATGAGGTAAGAATAAAAGGAAGTACCAACCCCACACTACTACTGATGCACTACTTCCAAGCTCTAATCTCTAGAGTGGATGTTTTTTGTTTATGTTCAGAACGTATTTGACAGCACTTTGATAATATTTCCACATATGATAGTTCTACACAAATCGAAAAGCAGGGACACTTCCACATAAATGAAACATTTATTATTCGATGGATAATAGCAATTTGTATAGCTTAGTGGCGTTTATGCAAAAATCGCATCTTGGTTATTTTTTGATAACTTGCAACAGTGATTTTCAATTTGTTTTATAAAATTCTAAGCTCTTGGACTAGAAAAATTCAGATTTTAGTGAAATGTTTATGTTATGCATAAAGAATGAAAAATACCTAAAGATACCTTTAAAGTGTCAAAATATCACAAAAAATATAATACACTTTAAGCCTGAATTTCCTTATAACTAAGTGGTAGAAGCATGAAAATTTGTATAATTTATATATTTCTATCTTTTTGATTATTTCTATAATGTATGTATTTGTGAATTTAGATGAATTAATTGTTTTAACTGTTTTAGAAAAATTAAGCAATGTTATGCAGAGTAAGGCAATCTGATAATAATATGGATAATTGTTATTTAATATATTATCAGAAAATTATTAAACTGGGTAAAATTGCTGAAAGAGGTATTGAATGCTCTGCCAAAATATATTTACTAGAAAATCTAAATTTGATAATGAATATATCCAAAAATGTGTTTTCAATCAAAGGTTTGAAATGATAGCTAAATGTAAATATTAAATTATGCATGTTAAAATATTTGTAATTAGGCACTTAGGTCAGGTTAAGTTTTTTAAAGAGGATAAAGCATGCAAGGTCTGTCAGCCTAAAGAGAGAGCTGCCTTCGTGGAGGAATTTCGAAGGAAAACTGACCTTTGAATCTGAATGCATGTAATTTTCATTCAATTTGTACATATTTCTTATGTAAAAAATTCTGATATATGCTATATTATTGTAAATTACTTGAAAAATATAGTGAATGCACAGTAATAAAGAAATAAAAGATTTGCACATGCTGAAAATAAAAAATATTAAATGTGTATGGGTCTTTATGCATATCCTTGTAAAAAGCATGCATGTGCCTTTAACAAAATATGTAAATTTGTATTCGTCAAATGCCTAGCCATTGACCATCAGGTCACTATCGATCAGAGAAGGCAGTTTGAATCATCACTCTTCAATGCACTAACCAAGCTCCTGGGTACAGCTCGACACTGCACATCTCCATACCAGCAGAAATTTTGTACGGAACTCCAATTCGCCTCCCAGGAGAATTCCTGTGCCCTACTCCTGAAACCCCAGACCCAGTGACTTTTGTTGCAAAGCTTCACGAATCTATGCAACGCCTCCTACCTTCTACAAATCAGCCTCACGGTGAGCAAGCGGTATTCGTCAGCAAAGACTTAACCACATGCCGTCATGTTTTTCTTCAAACGGATGTAGTGAAAAGAATTAAATTAAAGAAAGTGAAAAGAATTAAATTAAATTAAAGAAAAGAATTAAAGAAATCTTAAACAATTTTTCGCTTTTGGGAATGTGAATTCTTTTATTAAACGGTTCTAAATTTGGCAACTTGTCAACATTTTGGTGATTTTAGTTTCTATAGAAAATTTTTAATTCCAAGGTCTGAGAATTTTTAGACGATTTTTTTTTAAAACATCACAGCATTGATAAATTTCATTAAAATAATGGTAATATATTGAAATTATATTTAAAAAATAACATAAAAAAACATCTCTATTTTCTCTGTCATATTATAAAGTTTCATTTTGGCAACTTATACAATATTATGAATCTGAAAAGTAAGGTATAATGCTATAAAGCGTAATTTACGAAACAGCTCTTAACAAGAGCAAAATTAGCTATGTAATTAATTAAAAATGTCTTCTTTTTAATTTTTTTCATAGTAAGCATTTTAGCCATCTCAGAATATTCAAATTATCAGAATATGCATCAATTTTCTCTATAAAATTAATTTTACACTTTTTCGCTCCTTTTTTTTTTTCCCCAAAAAATATTTCTGCCTTTTTGCTGTTACAGAATTGGTAGGGATAATTTTTCTGTAGTATTTTAGACATTGCAGCTTGGAAAGTTTAGAAGGATTTGAAGGCAAGATTTATAGACCCACGATTCTACAAGATTCGAGAAATATGTGACAAAATGAAAAATGTCTCCATGGTATCAACATGTAATGATGTATTTTACAGAAAGTTTGCGATGAACTTCTTACCTTTTGGAAAACGTCTGGAAGAATCTTTTTCCTAACATACTAGAATCTTCCTAACATGTTTATCTTCCCTTTATTTTCTCTACTTCTCACTAGACACAAGTATGGAAAATATCAAAACTACTTCTAATCTTATCACATGGCCAGACATTATAGAAAGGGATTTTTTTTATTAATAATGAAATTGAAAATTTTCAATTTAAAAGACTCATCTAATATGTCTTAATATTCATATCTGGCATTAGGCATTTTCCCACCTGATGCAATCTCTGTGGATCCTAAATTCTGCTGGCTAGTGCCTTTCTAAATTCTGCTTCCAATCCCTGCTCTAAATTCTAAAAGTTTTGCTATTTCTAGATTTTGTTGTTCAATGTGTCACTAAGTTCTAAAAATTCTGCCACATCAGCTTTGTAACCGGGCTTTACCATATATACTTCATATTTCTTCTGAATGTTCATATTACTAAAGAAATAAAATTAGCTACTTTTTCTATACATTCTAAATGCATTTAGTGTTTTTTAGAATAACCGAAATCCTTAGTTAGACTCAAAAATTCTAAAATGAAAAAGAAAGAAACTGAGTACATAAAGAAAATTACTCTTCAAAGATATGTGCAGTTGTTATTATGTAACTTACCTGTTGTTTATGATTTCAGCCTTTCAGTTTATGATTCAGTCGAGGGTTTGGGGCTATTTAACTTTTACCAGATCAAGTAAACCCTCATAGGTACTTTGTGGAGAGGTTGGCATGTTAGAAGATAAATAAGCAGAAACTAGCGAGAGCATTGGTTTGCATATTGAGACAAATCTCTAACTTTTAGAAAAGATGCTTAAAGAGAAGGAAATTGATATAAACTAGCCAAAATGTTTGGTAAAGCTTCCAATTAAAATGAAGGATAAATATTTTGTTGAGTGTTGTTGTTACAAAACATAAATGCTTTGTAGCATTTAATGTGTATCCTAATATCATTTAAGAATCAATTTCATAAATTATATATATTTTAATTTTAACAATATTGTTTAAAACAATATTTGTTAAACATATAGTTTAACAATATTGTTAAAACAATATTTGTTAAACAATATATAGTTTAACAATATTTATTATATTAACACAATATTGTTAATATTTAACAATATTGTTTAACAAACAATATTTGTTAAACAATATATAGTTTAACAATTATTGTTAAAAAATAAAATTTAATAGTGGCCATGTAAATCCATTATAACTAAGGTTATCTAATTACCTAATTTAATTTTTTATAACTAACTGCATACCCTTAAAAATTATTCTACAGATTAAAGCGAGTTATTGCCTTTCATTAACACTCACTGTGGTCACAAGATAAAACACAAAAATGTAAAAATTCAAGTAAAACTTATTCTTTGCATCTAGTGAAACTTAAAAATAATACAAAACAACCTATCATGTCTGGTACTTTAATCGCTTATTGGAACATTAAAGTGTATTAACTGGGATACAACCCCTTCGAACTCTAAACAAAGCTATGACACTAACTGCATCAAACAGAGCCTAACTTTCAACACTTCCCAACTGTGTCTACATCAGGTCTTTCAGGTTTGTTCTTATGAGTCATGCTGATTATGATCTTACTTCTCATTTTAACGTATGCCTTTTGACATAAAAAATCTACCTGCTATTTACTAAACTTCTAGACTAAGTGACAAAATGAGACATTAAAAAAAAAAAAAAAAATCGACATAAAGGTAACTATTAGTAAAACGTAAATGTCACTTAGCTTCTTTCAAATATGTCCAGCTATTGTAAGGGTAAAATAGTTAATGCTACTTGATAAATTTCATGCATTTTATTTTATTCTCAAACTTATTAATAATTATGTTAATTATTTCATGTTTAGTAATAATGCATACTACTCAGGGATCTATTTTATTTTTAGAATGGTATTACAAAAATGAAAATCAGGCATAGAATAATATTTTTAATTGAATTTATTCAGTTCCCATTTGCTCATAGGTCCTTAATTTTTTCATTAATGGTCCTTAAAAGTACTTAATTTCCGTGTGCAGAAATGTGTACGAACTCTGTTATCACAAAAAACTCATTTCAGTAAATATTAGGAAACGTAATAAATAAGTCATAAAAATTTTAGGTGAGCAGCAGTTCCTATGAAAAGGTACATCAAGTATAAAAAAATCACGTTTGGAGAAAAACGCGTTTTTATGTAAAAATCCTCATTGATTAACCCCTTCGCGCCGACTGTCACGTATACGTGCCAGCAACGAACACACTTATCTACCGGCCGACACGCAGGCGTGCCAGAGCATTGTTGCGTTTACTACCGACTGTCACGTATTTGTGCCAGTACCTTGGAACGTTTTTCAAACTATAATTTCTGCCACAAGATGGCACTGTATGTCCATATGGTTTCAGATACATGTACATTAGACCTTCTACTCGAAATGAGAGAAGCATGACTCACATACACGTGTTTTTAATTATATAAACAAACGGGGAACTAAATGTTTCCGAATGGCGTGATTTATGACGTCTCTTTTAAATCGCACTTTATTCGCACGTGGTTTAGTTTATTGTAAGTAGA